CTTGAGAGGTATAATAATTTTGGCCAGGATTTCTAAGGGCTTGTTTACACTTCTGCTTATGTCAATGTAACTTACGTCGTTCAGGGGTGTGAAAAAACCACCCATCTGAGCGATATAAATTACATCAACTCAAAGCAGTGTCTACTCCTCACTATGTCGGCGGGAGACACTCTCCTGCTGACATAGCTTCCGCCTCTCATTGAGGTGGAGTAATTACGTCGATGGGAGAGTGCGATGTAGTGTGTCTTCACCAGATATCGGCGCCACTGCAGTGCAGAAGTGAAGACAAATCCTAAGTCCTCCCCTAAGGTTCAAAAATTTATTCTGTGGAAAATATTTCTGAAAGAAAGGTGCAGTTTTTACACTTGTGATGGGCTCAAACCAAAATCCCAGATCTGAATGCTCCTACTGTTGGGAAAGTTTGGATCTACTAATTTTTTTATTTGGTTTTCATCTTGATGGATAACACATTCACATCCAATTACTATATCAAAAAATGCAAACACATACAACAGAAATATTATTCCAGAGCACAGTAAGGTATGTATTTATGTGGGCTGTTGTTTGACAAATGATTGGTTTCTTTGCACATGCAAAACAGAACAATGGGAAAAAAAGGAAAACATGTAGCCGTTAAAATCACCCCTCAGTTTGATGAAATATTCCTAAGGGGCCATTTCTTTGTTAATATGTGCCGATTTGCCACATTTCACTCGTTTGGAGGGAGCCTCAATTTTAATCTCCCTAATTCACATTGGGCAGCCCTGTTTAAGTGTATGCACGTGAGCACACACAGTTAGCGTGGGTATGCTAATTTGTGCTAGGCTTAAATAAAACTCCCTGATCTGAATGCTTTTAATATTGGGAAAGTTTTGGCTCCAGTAATGTGTATGCAGTAAGGATGGGTGTGTGTCTGTCAGCTGTGTGCATGTGTGAGGAAGAAAGTATATGTTTCTCTCTCGGGTTCTAATTCTAATCTCACTAAGGTCATAAAAACTTTACTGGTAGATCACGTAAGGGGTGTGACTTTTTTTAAAACCAACATAATTATACCAGTAAAAGCCCTAGCAGTTATATCAGTATAAAGGTAACTTAGGTTAGGTCTATAGTGCAAACTTTTGCTGGCATATGTATGTCGGTCAGGGGTGTGATGAGGTTTGAGTTGTGACCAACATAGCTGTGCTAGCAAAATTCCTTAGGAGGACTGGAATAAGCTATGCCACTTTTGCCATTATAAACTGGATCCATATAAGGAGTACTTTGCCAATATGGTATGCCCATATATCTATACCTGCAAAGCCTTCCAAGTGTGGTGTACCTATACTGGTATAGAATTCGGATGTGTATAACAGCCCCCAACCCTTTATACTAATATAGCTGGGTCCAAACTAGGGCAGGTTGTACCACTTTGACTATGCTGGCATAGTTAAAGAGGTACAACTTTCTAGTGCGGACAGGGCCTTTGAGTGGTGTCAATCAGGAGTAACTCAATTCAAGTCACCAGTGTAAAAGTGGTGCAAGTGAAGAAACATGCAGGGGCGGGGAGTCTCTCTCTCTGTCTCTCTGACTTTACTGGCCTGACAGGCTAGATCAGTGTTGGGAAGCTTAAAGAAGAGTCGCCCCCCCACCCCCAGGTCTCTCTCTCTCTCTCTCTCTCCTGGGTGGGCCCGATCCACTCAGAATAGGGCTTGGCCCCACATTTAGGGCTGGAGCCCCTGTGTGCATTTGTCACTGG